TAAATTCAACATCAGACTTAACAATCACCGGTCTTTTTATACAAAAGGAAGAAACTGTCCAATTACGAGACACCTCTTAAGAACAGGGCATACTTTTGAAAATATCACCTTTCAAATAATTGAGGTAAACCAAAATTGGGACTCCCAAAGGAGAAAACAATGAGAAAGGTTCTGGATGCATCAGTTACGTGCTCTTGAACCTGATGGACTTAATGAGAGAGATGAAAAACAGTTCTACCCAAAACCAAAAAAAAAATCCTGAACTTCATTCTATTTAACTAAAACAACTATTTGTTTTGATTTAGGAATTGCTATGTACAATAAGCGGCAAAAATATTTTTCTAAACATTTAACATTGAGCTGCAAAAATTTCTTTACATCCTCTAACTTTTACCTGGTTGGCTGCACGCGCCTGATGAAGCTAACTTGTTTAGCGAAATATTGCGTGAATAATATAGAATATAACAACTAATTTTATAACACTCATTAGTGTGTTAAAGTAACATTCTTAGGCACTTATATAATTTAATGTAGTAACTGCATCAGTTTATTTACAAACTGATCCACGCCTAGATAGATTGAATGTTGATTCTTGCTATTCTTAGACACTATATATATATATATAATTCGTCTAAACATCAGCCCAACAATGTTAGATCTGTAAATTTGCTTTCGCAAATTTTTTGTTCAAAATCAAAACCAAATCGCCTTGCACTATGCCCGATGCGCTAGACCACTCGACCACCTAGGCTCTACAATAATAAAGCTTTCGGTGGCCGGGTGTTACCTTTCCTCGTCAGTTTTAATCTAGCGTCGTAACACAGTACATGATATATAAGGCATGAAGATGGAATTGTTACAGATCAGCTGAATTATCTATTGTAAAGGATCCTACAAATGAATGTAAGATGTAAGATATATATAAATGTGCTAAGGTACTTATGCATCCTTGGTTATAATTTGTTGTTTTACTTTGAGCGTTTATTTATGAAGGTTAGTTCAGTGAAGTCCTTCAGACACGAAAAATTCAATTAATTTTAAGCATCCAATCAATTCCGCTCTTGGTGAACTGTTAGTCCCCGAGGTATCATCAGCCTTTATTTAATGTTTTTAATGTTGATTGAATTTGCTGCTGGCGGAATGTAACTTACATCAGCTCAGTAATCAGTGCACTGGCACTAACCCGAATAATTCAATACCTCCCCGTATTCGATCTCTCCTACTTGGAAGGTCCTGAATTCTTTAGACGATAAAAACTCTTCACAAATGCTGGATTTTTATTGGTGCTCTAAAGAAGATGTGACCAATCAGCAATCAAATCCATTTTATCGAGAAAGATTAATCCCGAGCTAATTCCGAATGATTGATTGAAGATTTTTCATTGTCGATGCATTCAGGCGTCAATGTAGTATACGTAGATCAGCGGAATATAACGCCTGAATTTTTCGTTTACACTGGTACTGCCATAATTAAAAACATACATTTCTTAAACTTTTCTATGGCCAAATTTTAAATAAGATATAGAAGCTAATCAGGTTCCAACACCTTCGAACATAGTTTGCCTAAGACATGTAAGATGGATCTGGCTATTATTTCTAGTTCCATTTTAGTCATAAAATGTTCATTTAAGCAATCTCGGCTTTAAAATGGTAGGCTTTGTGAGCGTTCCTGATGAAGGTCATTCAAGAATAGTGCACCGGACGTACAGCATTTATAAAGTGTTTATTTCATTTTTACAGGAAGATCGATTCCATTGCTGAAGGACTGCTAGTTTCCAAGAGTATCACCAGTTCAGTTGTCAGTGCTTCGGTACAGACATGCGTTAAAAAATATACCTTTCTTAAATGTTTTGTTGATGCATTTGAAAATAAATAAGAAACTCATGTTGGAACTCTCTTAAGAAAAGTTGACCTTAAAAGGATTTCGCTACTATTCAAATGTGATTTTGTTCATATATCTCTTCACGTATTTAGGTACATCCATGGATTTCAATTGTCCATTTTGGGTGTTCCTGATGAAGGTAAATCCAGAAAGTTGCCTCAGATGCATAACATTAATTAAATTAATTAATTGTACAGACATGATTTAAAACGTCTCTTAAACTCGTCGGTCATTAATGAAGAAAATGTTTAGAAACTAAGATTCAAACTCTTTCAGGCACGTGTTGAGGTACGTATACATATTCCGGTTTTCATTGATTTACTCTGGGTATTCCTGAATTTATTATTATTGCATTTTTAACAACGTTCCTGGTGAAGGTAAATCATAAAAAGCGCTTCAGCAATCTTCAGATGAATGGATTTGTCACGTGTTGTTTTCATTGTTTTTGTAACATTAATTTAAAATTCAGAGCTTACTATCCCATACATGTATATGATGGAAAGCTATGAAAGTAAGGAGATGTGATATAGAGACAACTATCCACCAAATATAAATAAGAAGTTTTGGTATGAGTGCCAATCAGACAACTCTCCATCCAAGTCACAATGTATAAAAAGTTAACAATTATAGGTTAAAGTACGGCCTTCAACGCGGACGCTTGGCTCAAACCAAACAGCTAGCTATAATGGACCCCAAAATGACTAGTGTAAAAACATTCAAACAGGAAAACCAACGGCTAATTTATAAACAAAAACGAGAATCGAGTAACAATTATGAATCACACCAACAAACGACGACCACCGAACAACAATCTCCTGACTAGCCATAAAACCAGGTTCAACCCACCATGTTTTCTTTAAAAGATCTGTACCAAGTTAGGAATATGGCAATTGTTATCACATAGTCCGTTTCTATATATGTTGGCGTTTGTTATTTAAGCAGTTCAGTGTTTCTGTTGTTCCGTTTTGTTTCCTCTTATACTTGATGTGTTTCCCTCAGTTTTTGTTTGTGACCCGGATTTGTTTCAGTTAAATCGATTTATGGCTATTAAACAGCGGTATACTACTATTGCCTTTATTTAGCATAGGTCCATAAAAATGCAGCGAGTTTAATTGTTTTAACAGGCGCCAACCTTCACCCTAACCTGAGACAGTAATGTAACATGACAACAAAAAAGGACCCAACTATAAAATATCAATTGAAATGGATTAACTCAATCAAAAAGATATTTAAACAAAAACAAGTAAACATACACTGCACGAATAAGTTTTATCTATCACACAATATAAATACAATATTAATAAAAAAAAAAAGATGTAAGAACAGTGTCAAATTCAACTCTAACCCGGGTTAAACTAAAAAGTAAAAAAAAATAGAAAGTCCCTAATCAAACTGCAAATTCAAAAGCTCAATCACATCGAACGAATGGATAACAACTGTCATATTCCTGACTTGGTACAGGCATTTTCTTATGTAGAAAATGGTGAATTAAACCTGGTTTTATAACTAGCTAAACCTCTCACTTGTATGACAGTCGTCTAAAATTCCATTATAATGACAACAATGTGTGAACAAAAGAAACATACATAATAAGTAAAAATGACAAAAATAGGGGTAGAGCTATCAACATTGTGTTATAATCTTAATCATTATAAAACAAACAAATATGTCAACAAAGCAAAAAAAAACAGGCATATAGACAATGCACAATAGCAAAAGCGAAAGACAAGAACACCACAATTTTACCATAGCATAATAACACAATGACGGGAATGTATAAGTACAGAACCACGTCAAATGGATATTACCAAAAATAGACAACAGTAAAAGTAATAATTAACAAAGACAAATAAAAGAACACTATAAAACGTAATCAAGATGATGAACAACTCAGTACCTACAGTCTATATATAACGTTCAATAAAACAACGTACACAGGTAAATTTAAATCTCAGAAACACAAAATAAGTAAACAATGAATCCCAGAAATGCATAACAAATAGTGTCAACCGGTCAAATTAGCACGCAAGTACGATTTGAGAGTACTTGCATTTACTGAAAGCTAGTTAAAGATCACAAAAATCAATAATAACAAATTATGCATCAGAGACTAAAATAAACTAAAGCACATCCAACAGATTTAGTGTTCATACGCCACAGACAGTCAAAGAAGCCGTACTTTGACCTATAAATGTTTACTTTTACAAATTGTGACTTGAATGGCGAGTTGTCTCATTGGCACTCATACCACATCTTCTTGTATCTATGACTTGTTCTATGCCAAAATTAATGACAGAGAGCAAGTAGGTTCGTTAGAATATACGTTTATGATAAATATGTGTCATGATGAATATAGATAAAGCAATCTCTAAAAAGAAAATAAACGTAGATGTGTATTTCTACATCCCAAAAACCATTCGACCAGAATACAAATTTGTTCATGTTGAAGACAAAATCGATGTTAGTGCCAATGTAAACAATATTCAAAGATCTTATTACAACATTAATAAGATAACCTTTACTAGGTTTGTTGAAAGGTTCGATGGGTTTACACGGTTACATTGTGATTTCCGCGATTTTAGTACAATATTATAGTAAAATTTCGAATGTGAAATACCGTTTTTAATAAAGTACAGCAAAAGTTACTAATCAACTATGTGTATCTATGAAAGAATTTAGTAAATGTTTTAAGAAATTTATGGTAAACAAAGTTCAGATGTGGTGGATGTAAGCAATTTTAGACAATTGTACCGCCTTCAACAATGGGAGAAAAAACAATACCATATAGTCGGTTATAAAAACACACCATGAAAAATATGAAACACTTCATTTGAGAAAAAACTAACGGCCTATTTTATCTGTACTATTATTTGTCTGTTTGTCTTTTAATTTTTGGCCATGGCGTTGTCAGTTTGTTTTCGATCTATGAGTTTGACTGTCCCTCTTGTATCTTTCGTCCCTCTTTTATAACAAAACAATTCACAAAATACAAATATGACAGGCATGAATCGCCGACAACCACTGAACTACTAGTTCCTGACACTTGAACGTTGAATTTTTTAGTAAGGTTTAGTCAAAACTATTGTAATAACATTCAATCAATCAAATATTACGCTCACCTTTTTGTGACTTGAATGGCATTCGATTTCATCTTCCTGAAATAGAGAATTTTATCATAAACAGAGAGGAAAACTCAGATGTCCTCCAGCAATTGTATTCTTCTCGTTACATAGACCTGCATTAATGTCATTGATTTCATTTAAGAAATAATTCGTGGAAGCCATATATTTGTTGGACATTAACAGATCATGGCCTGGGCTGTTATTTTCGAATTTTATCCTGAGCTTTAGCGAGGGATAAAATTAACGAATATAACGGTCCAGGCCATGTGTAAATTTACAACAAATATATGGCTTCAATGAATTAAGACGACTTTAATAGGACAAATACGATAATTAAAAATCAGAAGCGAGGGTTGGTATGGCGTTTGTGTGGCTGTTCTATTTTACCCCCTGTCAAATAAGGCTAACAATATGTCTAATAAATCTATAGCTTGCATGCGTTTTTTCTTAAATAAAGGTTTTTAATTCTTTTAATTTTTAACCCCAACATTTGCCATTTTTAGCTTATTTTTTTCTCGTAAGCTACCGTCAAATCCACAGTTGACATTTCGTACTAATGAGCCGCCATGTTGATGTGCTGAAATCAGTAAATGTGCGAATATTGCAATAGAATAGAAAATAAAACAACACCTACCTCAAAACTTCATTTTAATGTATTATTATCCGAATTTTGAGGGTTAACGCAACGGAAAAACCTTCAGCTTTGAAGTTTTCATTCATATGACGTCATGTTTGAAATGACTTAAATGCGTCAAAAAAGTTAATGGAATTTTGCGGAAATTTATTTCATTTTGATTTTGTACATTTTTCGACGTCTATTGCATTAATTCTTTTTGTTATGCCTCAAAACAAGAATAAAGGTTCCGCAGTTTTTATTTCAATTGCAATCTTTACTACAAATCGGCATAGCGTTTGCACATTGGTTACAATACATGTGGATTTACGTGGGGGGGGGGGGGGGATATTATAACAGCCATTATCATATACATTCTTGAGTTTGTGCTAAGTAAAGATATATCAAGAACTTTATCATGGTGCTGTTTACAAAACGAAAGAAGCACGTCATATTAGAATCACTAGTATTTAAAACTTAGTCTTAAACGATGATGTTGATCTTAACATTCTCTGAAATGTCTGAATAATAAAAATTTTCAGTCATGTTCAGTTTTTTATTTTTCAGACAAATCCACTATGGTAAATTCAGAATCGTTCAGACAATACGCTTGCTGTCAATTAATTACAGTTCAGTAGCTTTGCAGACAATTAAATATGATGTTGAAGTGAACAGGTAAATGACGACAACTGAACAGTCTGAATATTGACTTCACAGATTTTGATAAACTGCAAGCGAATTGTCTGAACAGTTCTGACTTTTACGGAGTTTATAAGTTTGAAAGTTGACACCACGACTAAATATGACTGTCTAATATACTGTTCCATCTTTTTAGAGCTGTTGAGCTCATGCCATGATTTCAAATCGTGTATATACTGTGAATACATAAGTCAATGGAAGTATATTCATTATCTGGGTGACACGGTCGTTATACGTCATCTGTTAAGAAATAACTAAAAGTAAGTATAATTAACTACATTTATCTCGTCATGTGTATACCTGACGCATCATAAAAGATACAGATGCTGCATCCAATTATTTACAACATTCTGTAGGACAAACATATCTTAACACTGTTAAGTTGAATGTGTGTGCCAATGAGACAATCCGTCCAAGTCACAATTTTTTAAAAAGTAAACCGTTAAAGGTCAAAGTACGGCCTATTTTTATATATTTCCAGCATACAATGTGTTGAAGATTTTACGTAAGATTTCCTTAGGAAAGTGTTTATTTTAAGAAAAAGGAGGAAAGTCGTCGTTTTTGAATTTAACTGTGTAAATTTGATAAAAAATAGTTGCTCTTCAGTGGTTTTTTCAGTACTGAAACGGTTATTTTCAACTTAACAACTCGTAAATGCTTTAACAGGCCTTACGAAAAATTGTATAGAACAACTAGCTTTCAGAAAGAACATACAAGAAAGTGGTAAACATTTTAAACAACATATTTCCTACTCATAGCTATAAATTTGTCTACAAGTAACACATTTAGATACTTTTGGTATCAATTGAAAGTGCAAGGATTACTGTAGACTTGTTGTCGAAAAATTCTCTTCAATAATAAAACTAATATATATATATATATATATACAAGTCTAAATTGAAAACAACGTTCAAACCTATGATTGCGTTGGATAAAAATCGCAATTTTTATACGTGTGCATGCAAAACAAATTTCTTGTTAGAGGGGTCTAAATACAGCACAAACAACATTTTCCAATAGACCAAAAAAGTGAAAAAGTATATTTTAACAAAACGCATTTGACTAACAGGTCGAACAACAAATGTTCTTAAACCCTGCTGACTGCCATTGGCGATTGCCAAATAAACGGATCACCGATGTAATAAATGGATCTTAAATATAAATTTAATACTAAACAGAAAACAATAAACTTGCGGAAAAGATGTTATACCGCTAACAAAAGGTGCAAAGGTTTTTGTACACCATATCCGGATTTCGACATTTAATGTCTCTTCAGTGATGTTAGGAATCGAAACGGTATTTGGAAAGCCATACAATTTACCTCAATTGAGGATAGACTCCTGAATTTTGAGGAGTCAAAATAGGATGAACGGATCATATAAATTCGAAGGCAAATATAATACAAGCCCAAACGAAAAAATATAAACAAGTCTAAATTGAAAACAACGTTCAAACTTTTGATTGCGTTGGATAAAAACCGCAATTTTTATACGTGTGCATGCAAAACAAATTTCTTGTTAGAGGGGTCTAAATACAGCACAAACAACATTTTCCAATAGACCAAAAAAGTGAAAAAGTATATTTTAACAAAACGCATTTGACTAACAGGTCGAACAACAATTGTTCTTAAACCCTGCTGACTGCCATTGGCGATTGCTAAATAAACGGATCACCGATGTAATAAATGGATCTTAAATATAAATTTAATACTAAACAGAAAACAATAAATTTGCGGAAAAGATGTTATACCGCTAACAAAAGGTGCAAAGGTTTTTGTACACCATATCCGGATTTCGACAATTAATGTCTCTTCAGTGATGTTAGGAATCGAAACGGTATTTGGAAAGCCATACAATTTACCTCAATTGAGGATAGACTCCTGAATTTTGAGGAGTCAAAATAGGATGAACGGATCATATAAACCCGAAGGCAAATATAATACAAGCCCAAACGAAAAAATATAAACAAGTCTAAATTGAAAACAACGTTCAAACCTATGATTGCGTTGGATAAAAACCGCAATTTTTATACGTGTGCATGCAAAACAAATTTCTTGTTAGAGGGGTCTAAATACAGCACAACCAACATTTTCCAAAAGACCAAAAAAGTGAAAAAGTATATTTTAACAAAACGCATTTGACTAACAGGTCGAACAACAAATGTTCTTAAACCCTGCTGACTGCCATCGGCAATTGCCAAATAAACGGATCACCGATGTAATAAATGGATCTTAAATATAAATTTAATACTAAACAGAAAACAATAAACTTGCGGAAAAGATGTTATACCGCTAACAAAAGGTGCAAAGGTTTTTGTACACCATATCCGGATTTCGACAATTAATGTCTCTTCAGTGATGTTAGGAATCGAAACGGTATTTGGAAAGCCATACAATTTACCTCAATTTAGGATAGACTCCTGAATTTTGAGGAGTCAAAATAGGATGAACGGATCATATAAACCCGAAGGCAAATATAATACAAGCCCAAACGAAAAAATATAAACAAGTCTAAATTGAAAACAACGTTCAAACCTATGATTGCGTTGGATAAAAACCGCAATTTTTATACGTGTGCATGCAAAACAAATTTCTTGTTAGAGGGGTCTAAATACAGCACAAACAACATTTTCCAAAAGACCAAAAAAGTGAAAAAGTATATTTTAACAAAACGCATTTGACTAACAGGTCGAACAACAATTGTTCTTAAACCCTGCTGACTGCCATTGGCGATTGCTAAATAAACGGATCACCGATGTAATAAATGGATCTTAAATATAAATTTAATACTAAACAGAAAACAATAAATTTGCGGAAAAGATGTTATACCGCTAACAAAAGGTGCAAAGGTTTTTGTACACCATATCCGGATTTCGACAATTAATGTCTCTTCAGTGATGTTAGGAATCGAAACGGTATTTGGAAAGCCATACAATTTACCTCAATTTAGGATAGACTCCTGAATTTTGAGGAGTCAAAATAGGATGAACGGATCATATAAACCCGAAGGCAAATATAATACAAGCCCAAACGAAAAAATATAAACAAGTCTAAATTGAAAACAACGTTCAAACCTATGATTGCGTTGGATAAAAACCGCAATTTTTATACGTGTGCATGCAAAACAAATTTCTTGTTAGAGGGGTCTAAATACAGCACAAACAACATTTTCCAAAAGACCAAAAAAGTGAAAAAGTATATTTTAACAAAACGCATTTGACTAACAGGTCGAACAACAAATGTTCTTAAACCCTGCTGACTGCCATCGGCAATTGCCAAATAAACGGATCACCGATGTAATAAATGGATCTTAAATATAAATTTAATACTAAACAGAAAACAATAAACTTGCGGAAAAGATGTTATACCGCTAACAAAAGGTGCAAAGGTTTTTGTACACCATATCCGGATTTCGACAATTAATGTCTCTTCAGTGATGTTAGGAATCGAAACGGTATTTGGAAAGCCATACAAGTTACCTCAATTTAGGATAGACTCCTGAATTTTGAGGAGTCAAAATAGGATGAACGGATCATATAAACCCGAAGGCAAATATAATACAAGCCCAAACGAAAAAATATAAACAAGTCTAAATTGAAAACAACGTTCAAACCTATGATTGCGTTGGATAAAAACCGCAATTTTTATACGTGTGCATGCAAAACAAATTTCTTGTTAGAGGGGTCTAAATACAGCACAAACAACATTTTCCAAAAGACCAAA